GGAGACAACCTTGTCATGGGTCAATTCTCAGCTTTCGGCAACAGACTATGCAGATGTGGAAAGAATACGGACAAAAGTCAGATCAAAAGGCGCTGGCTTCCGAAAGTTCTTCTACACGACTGTCTTACAGAGTCTTAATCAAAACACGCGTGCACAGATTCTGGAACTGTGGATTGATACCATGGACTCTTTTTTTTGGGATGGGTTGATTTCACGGTTATGACAGCGAACACACCATTTCTGTGGAATTCAAGGGATTTGGTATGATTTTTTTAAAACGCAATTTTCCATGTGTGTGCTAATAGCTCTAGACGTCCTAGACATTCTGTGTTACATACTACTCGGCAGCCATGGGATGAAACTCCCATATGCTACGCTTCGCAAAGCCCTGTCATCCTCTGACATCAGTCTTGATGAAAGAGAGGAAGTGGAAAAGCTTCTACTTCTGAGTGAGATCGAAGGATTGGGATGGTACGAATATATCGCGCGTGTGACCAATGCCTCATGCAAAATGCTGACACGGTCGAAGGTTTCAAAACAACAGTGGACTCATTTCATAGCTTCAGGAGGGGTTACCGCTGCAGTGATAGCTACAAAAGGGGGGAGGGCGCGCAAGTTGACGAGATCATGGGAAACAGCACTACAACAGTAACATGTTTACAATATTTATTCTTCCTCACACAGACCACACTTGTTTCTAAATCCATCTGTCCTTAAATGGTGTATTTGTATAGAGCATGCTACCTGCTCGTGATCGCATAAGTTGGGATTTGAAAGCAGTACAATGTCGGGGGCTCGACATAGCAGGTTGAGCGGCTGAACGCACGCTCGTTAGGTGTTTGCTGGCCCACATGCAGGGATTACTGCATTCGAGGATCTTGGGAAGGGAGGACCGACGATTGTCTAATAAGCCTCTATTGTCGCGCTTTCCCAAATTCCCATAGGCCAATCTCCGACACCTTACCAGCCAATTTCCAATCAGAACCATTGCGTACTCCTTTTATTCGGCGAGAAAAGCTTTATGAGTATTATTCACAGGTGCTGAAAAACGACCTGAAATGCGGTGGAGAATGCCGTGCTCTCAACCTTTATCGTCAGGGAAAATCGACCGGGGGAACCCTTTCGTGGGGTATTGAGGTGTGGGCTATACACAAGGAAGATATCGTCAGCAAATATAAAGGCTCCTTTGAACACCGTTCTGGTGATAAGAGGGACATTTTAACTCAGATCCCTTGCATGTAGCTGTCCTTGATCAGGTGGGATTGATTTCCCGTCTCCGGCGCCGACATCTGAATCTATCGATCGATGGGAAAGAAAGAACCGTGAGAATGCAAGAAGCAAGTTCTGGGATGTCCGCGCTGCGACTGATGTGAAGTAGGATGAGACGAGGCTGTAAACTGCATCTCTGCTCGGTCAGTCCGTCCAGAACATTGAGTTCTTACAACTTCTCACTCCGCACAGCAGCCCCTCTGCTAGCCTTATTCCGGCCATTGACCATGATACGGGGCCAAACGCATAAAAAATCGGTGTGCACTCTACCCCTGGGATTGATGACTCGGGTAGAAGTCCCCATCGGGACGGACAAAGGTGTTCCGGCTACCACAGGCTGCCCCCTCCAGTACCCGAACTCAAACCATTCAATCAATCCAGCCTGGTCACAACCGCATCGACCATTCATTCATCGAGAAATATACGCAAAGTAAGACAAATCAGAAGGCCACTGGGTGGTCTTTCTCTTCATCCAGGCAAGCTCCAATTTCTGTTATTTGCCGTCCCGAGGAAAAGGACAGTCACACTTTGTTATCTTAGCTAAACTCTCTCTGGCATGAAGTCTGGATCCAAGCAAAGCGCCGAATCTCTACAGCACGAACCCAACTCATTCGATAAAAGCCCTCCAAAGCGGCTGGCCAAGAGATGCTCACTCTATCGATGCTCGCGTCGAGCCCCAACTCGAGCAAGGCCATCATATGCAGAGCGATGGGAGTTACGTGGCCCAGGACTGGGCTAAATCAAGCAGCCACTGTATGTTTGCGAGGACATACCATCTTTGAATTCAGGCACTCCTATGCTCAATCTCTCCTCTGTTCTCAGTGCTCATTGGTTCTCCGAGGAGTCAGTAGACTGAACCAAGTGAGTAGGCTTGAAGGAAAGTGGCCCTCTAGAAAGATTCCCTCATTGCCACCACCCAATCTATCAATTGGTTCATTATTGAATTTTTGTGAGCTGACGTTTTTCTGAACAGATGTTTGTCCATATCACGATTACCCGACCAACCGAATGAGAAATAAATGCGGCCCTCCAATAAGCCTGCCTTCCCCCGCGACTAGTTCAATACGATCGTTTGGACGTTTCCGATAATCGAAAGAAAGAACCGAGTCCTTACAGGCATTATCGTCGAGTACTTCAATTTCCGATATCTGCCACAGGCCAGTTGAATTTTGCCACGGTGCACGCCAATTTTAATGGGCTGTATACGGAGCGGACATGCGTGAGAATCTCACCAGTTTGGAGGAATGACTGTATGCCTAAGAACATACTCTCTCATCATATCATAAGCGTCACAAGAGCGCACATTTCCGGAATTGTGTGCCTTTTCTTAAAGTCACAGGTCACGCTCGTCTCGCAAATCGATGACTTCTGTTGAGTCAATGCCCCATATTGCAATCAGTTTCCTGTGAATATCAGGATTCCTCGCTGGCTCCGGAGAACCTCTTTCTGTCATTACTGTTGTCATTTGCAAAGCCTTGTTCATGTCCGTGATTCGCAGCGGATACTCGTTTGAGCTTCCGAAACAGCCCATGCAGATAAAGTTGTCACAGCCAAATTGATATCCCACCTGCCATATTCTGATGTCGTTGCAGTTCTCGATTGCCTCCACATATCATCAAAACGAGGCGTAAAATTCTGCTCACAGGTGATGCGAAAAATAATTGTAAGGTTGCCTCCGGCTCGGACGTATTTAGAGAGCTTTTCGGAAAGGCATTGGGCATATTCGTTCAGGCCCATTAAACCATTTTTTTGAGACTCCATGGTTTAGAATATGCTGGGGTTTGTGCTTGCGGTCGTCACTATCCTTCCTCTCAGAGACAAGCACTCTGGGAACTCACACTGTGTGACTCAGGATTGTCCTATCAGAAATGGACTACAATTGAGCTGGAAGATAGATTCCTAGATAAATAGACCTCTGGCTTTTGGAAAAATTGTGGCCTATTAGAGATTCTGTCAAATCTTGATCTTTCAACGAGGACAGAGGCGTCACTGAATGGCGCAACACCATCTCATTGAGAAAAAAGAACAAAGGGTCAGTGCTACCAACAAGATCCACCCCGCTAAGCAGGGGTATGGTATGGTCACGTAGTATTCACAGCAGGCCCCACATGTTTCCGTAAAAGTACCAAAATTACATACGTACTTGTGTTCAAATTGATGTGGATCAAACCCAGCTATGGTGGAACCCGGTCATTGAGTGGTAATGCCTAATTGGTAGGTGATTCACCACCCTTGTTCCTTGCTACTTGGGGCCTTCTCTTTCATATCCTTTTTCAATCCATTTGGCATGTTTCGGATCCAGATATCGGCCCATTAATTCTGAGTATTCTGCCAGAAAGTTCGTCTGCTTTGTTTTCTTCCTTGATCGACTCTCTACAGTAGTCCCTCGAACAGAACTGACATAGACAGGGCCCAAGCATCTATTCCGCGGACGGAGAAAAAGAATTTGTAATGCCTGCGAGCCATAATTCCAACATGGATCCGCGGCGTTTATGTTATGCGTGCAAAAGGGTTCCTTCGGTGTGTCCTTGTCTAATGACTAGTGGGACAAGGATGCACATTTCCGAAAGTCAGGTTGAAACCACCTTGACCGACCCAGAGAGCATTGGAATCTGGAGCCAGATAACCAACGAGATACTTGAACAGCAATATATCTCTGACCGAGAGCAAAATCACTCAGCAGCTTACCACCCAAAGATCGGTCCATTGCCCCGGATTCCCACTCTCCCCCATTCACCACCCAGAGTGCTATTCGATGCGTGAGTTAAGTCGTGCCACACTTCAAATATCTCACCTGACAAAATGGCAGGAGTAGTTCTTCGTCAGAAGGGCTTCGAACGCCTGAGATGTGGGTTCAGAGCTCGGCATACTATATGCAATCAGCACGCACCCTCGGGTCCGAGGACCAGGCTCCAACTGTGCGATTGGAAGAACCAACCTCCACACAGGCCATAAATGGCTATTCATCCTTGAACTTTACGTCGGCTGCCTCAGATAATTTTTCTGTGCTCCCTCATGACCCCAGGGGGGATTTTTCCACCCAATTTTCGTCAGGCGCAATTGCGAATCGCTATCACCACCACCACAACTACGATATTGATCTCAATCACCAACTCCACCGTACGCCGGCCCCTTTGGAATGGAATGAAGAGCGCCAAGCTGCCAGCACACAACTCAAATGCTGGGATCATGGGTGTAACGGGAAGATTTTCTCCAATTTTAGCAATCTTCTCCGTCATCAACGTGAAAAAAAGGGCATATACCCCATTGCTGTGTGCACTTCATGTCAAAGAAGATTTACTCGGACGACAGCCCTCAAAGCTCACAGAAAAAACACGAATTGCGTGAATCTGCAAGCAAATTCAAAGCGGGGATAGAGAAAGGATTCTGGAAACTCCGTTGCTTGTTACTTCGGATACTTCATCCTGAGGCTAGCTAGTTGTCACATTAAACCACAATGTGCTCTGTTTGCAACCTCTACACGCAGTGCAGAGGGCGTTGTTGCCGCTGATGAGCCATCAAAGCGGTTGATTGATACTATTTTTTCTGGTATTCTTATAGTGTAAATTCAGTTGAACTTTAGTCCAACCCGGCACCAACATTGTCATCAGGCAACCACCACCCCCTATGTCATCTTGGCTGCCCAATTTGCAGCCGAGAGATAGATCAAATCTAGGTGTGTTATCTGGAGATGTAATTTCTAGATTCTCAATCTCCCACCTACTCCCGCGTCACGTTGATGTTATTCCCATAATCTCTCCGTCGGTCTGAGTCGACGCAGCATGGGATGTCCAATTTTCAGCCGCATATCTTGCCATCGGAAAATGCTCCTTCATCTCCCTTTCGCTGCCGTCTATATCCGTAAGATATGTCAAGCATGTCATCGTGATGGAAACGCTGGCAGTCATAGCCCTGAAATAATCATGTTCCAGAAGATACTCTTTCACAGAAAAATGGGCAAGATGTAACTCTTTAACATCGGCCTGAACGACTGTCACTAAGCTAGGACAGTATGCCAAAATATCAGTCTCGCAAAATAATCGACGTTTCATGTAAAAGCCTCGCGAGTCGTACTCAATCTTTGTCGCTATAACTTCTTTAACTTCAGCTAATGTCAGAGGTCGCTTGGAGTGCACTAGGAATTGTAGAAGGCGTATAGCGTCGTTTTTTAGCTTCGTTGGTATGTTTTCAAACATGCGCTCGTATGTCTTATCGAGATCCCGCGGCAAAGATTGAAGAGCCTCCTCCATAGCTTCCTCGTGAGGACATCGAGCCAAGGTATCCAATTGACAGAATGCCCATCGAAACCTGATCAAGGCGTCAGTAAGCTATCAACATATTGATCGAAGCAGTAATAACTCACATCCCGTCGGCGCCATCGCCAACCTTTGTCCGGATCCCTTCTAGAACATTCTGGGACAAGGGCTTCTCTGTAAAATCACGCCGTTGAGAAAGTTGTGCTGTGACCCACGATCGGATATCGGAGTTGACGGCTTTCTTATCAAGTCCCAGACTGTTTTCCTTTCCTATTAAGGGGGGAATGTCGCGCAGAAACTCGGATTCGGGTCGACCGGTAAGAAGCAACTGAACATGGACCAACTCTGGCCTGGACACCATATCCCTGATCCACTCGAGCACATCTTCCCTTGTTTTCGATTCATCCAATGCGTCCAGAACAATATAGACCTTCCTCTGGGCGACGAGCATCCTGAAAACAATACTCCAGAGCACCTTGGTCGTAGGTTGGTCGCTGCCATTTCGGTGTGCCTGGAACAAAGTATCGAGATGATTAGCAGACTCCACCTCGCCGTCGTAAAGTTGGAAAGCCAGCGAGCGCAGCATGCCTTCCAATGTCTGTTTTGCGACGTCACTAAAGTCAAAGAAGAAGCTGAGGATAAGATTGTCGTCTCTTTTCGCGAGATGATCAAGCACAGTCGTACTAAGAACCGACTTTCCACACCCCGCGAGCCCGTGCAGCCATAACTGTCGACGTGATCCCGAGTGCCACGCTTGGAAAACGGGGGATTCGAGCAGCCACACGCTCCCCTCATGACGGAGCTCCCTGGCATGGCTGGCGTTTGAAGATGGATCCGGGGGACAAAGCCAGCGCTTGATCTTATTGGTATGAAGGTCAGATCTGATGGAATCAGTAGTGACCCTTGTTGCAGCTGTTGTCTGCTGTACGCATTCAATCTGTTCTTGGACTGTTGAAAGTCGAAATATTAATAATTTTTCAAGTCCAATTTACATATCTCGGGTATTTTTAGGTACTTCAGGCACTTGCATACGACCTTTTCAGGTAGGCATGTACTCACCCTTTTCCAATATGGCCTTTGCTGGATCCTCGGCATCAACATCACTGGGCTGCACACATCCGAGAAGTTCCTTTGCGTAGGCAGCGGCCACGGCTGCAGCATATTCTTGCCAGGCCTTCTCTTTTCCCGAGTCCGCATAGTCACAAATGCCTCGGATAACAATACATGGGAAATCGTTCATGAGGCCAGCTGCCTCCATCTCCACGCATAGCAAGTGCCCGCCAAATAATTTGTCAAGGAGGTCTCGCGATTGTGAATCCTTAACCACTTTATTCCCGGATGCGATCAGGCCATAGTGAACCCTGACTTCTCTTGGGGCCCTTGCACCCTCTGCCTTATCTGTTAACCGCACCTTCTCCGATTTTACCGAATTAATGGCCCATGAACCAAGAAGATATGCGATACTTGCAATGATCGCCTGCCACAACCAAGACAGGAAATAGACTTCCCTCGGCGTCTGGGATATCTCGGATACCAATAATGGGTCCTGGAAGGCCTCACACCTCGTATATCTTGGCGTTAGCCGCGGGAATCTCTTTTCCACGTCATCCAGATACTCATTTATCTGTGATCCGTACATCTCATGGTTACTTTTTAGCAGGTTCGACGCGTTGAGTGGCGTGTTCGGGGGTCGATTCAGCGAGCCCGTGCGGACAAACCGCCCATCCCATTCCAGCTTCCCCATATCCCATTGAATAACCCCATGATAGTCAGCAACAGGTTGACTGACCACAACATCACCCAGATTGACTTTTGGCGGAATTCCGCCGCCAATCCCCACCATAAGCCCGAACCTGATTGATTGAAACGTGTTTATCATAGAGGTCGCGACGGTTGCGGCAGGGTTGGTTCCCATGTTGGGCAAACAGGCTATACATACAATTATAAATTGAATCAGAAAGTCTGAAGCGTTTTTTGTCACTATTGTACAGCATGTGTGACAAATGGAAATACGAGGGATCAGCCGACGGCCCTCGTCACGTGCTCAAGGACATAGGCATACCTGTAATTACGTACGAAAGCCGTTTTTCTTACCCCTGGCGATCAAACAGCCCTATTTGGCTGCATGCATGATTAGCGACCGGTCTATCCATTTCGCTACCTTGGGTGGGGACCTAGAAAGGAAAGAAAGAATCCGAGTTGCTCAAGCTCGAATAGGTATTCGGTTCCAAGCTTCGGGAAAACACCGGACAATGCAATCCTTTCCTGAACTCTTTCCGTGGGGTTGGGGTTACTCACGTGAGTAACAGAGGCATCTTAGTCATGTTGAAGCTATGTCGAATATCAAGATCAAGCTTTGGTATCACGCAAAAGCAGGAATAGTTCTGAAGTGGATCGACTTGTAGCTGCTGGCAATTAAATTTTTCTTAATTTATCTGCCTAATTACATTGTTCACGCCCGTTGTTCACTCTCGACCAGCTCGTTCCCATCCTAATGAGATGGAAGCCGAGATGAAAGCCCAGAAATTGTCCTTCTTCCTGATCACTAGCGTAAATCTGCCCCTTTCTTGTCAGTTCTACAGCCACGATGGACCTGTGTACAATTGCGAGAGGAACAGATATATCGGTGAGGATATTTAATTGTAAAGTGCAAACGCATTTCGCTACCAAGCAACCGTATTAACCCTGACCCAGAAGCACAGGTCATAGGAGCACTGGAGGACTGGAAGCAGATCTAGCCATGAACTCACTACCCGTCCTTCCGCCCTCGTGGATAGATGACAATCACTAGCTCTGGCCTTAAGCTCTGCGCCTGATTTGAGGGTGGGAGAAGACTGATCAAGAAAGCACTGTGATGGGACTTCGTCCGATATTGATTTTCACATGTATAGATGTTTTATAGGTCTATCGGCATTAATACATATTCATTCCTTCCACGAAAACACCATGTTCATTTTGTATTGCCCGTTCATCCTATTTGAATCAGTCACTTCCGGTTTCTCCCGTGGAAATATGGATGCGGCGCATTTTCTCCCAAAGTTGTGAAACAAACAGTGGCTGTTTACGTCGACGAAAGAAGGGCTTGGGGCTAATGTAGACTAAAGAGGCAATCAGCAATCGTCAATGCGATTCAATGCGGGCTTCACGACGACCTACCCGGGGTGACATGATATGCTGGGCTGGGGGGTTCATGGTCATATTGGAACTGCAAAGTCACTGTAGAAGCTTTCGGGAGTGAAGTTTCAGATATTTTCTGTTGCTGCAAGATTCGGCGAGCCCAAGGATCCGGGGTCTGAGGCCTAAAGACAGGAGGATGAGGAGGGAATCCCTTTGGAAGCCTCTGATGCCGGTACCGAGCCCTACGCGCCACCGTGCGGGTGTGTGCGGACATTCTGTTAGAGATGGGACGCCGTCGTCTAATCCCTTTCTGGAGCTGGTTGTATTTCCCTCGCAGCGACTCGAATGATCGGTCTTTGTTGTGTTGCTTGGAATATTCTTCGGCCCTTCTTTCCCACGACATCCAGCGGTGTTCAGATAACCATGGTTGGAGGTTGTTCTCCTCGGATGCAGTCCAAGTAATGTAGGCACCTTTCGCCATTGTGGTAGCCAGGGTAAGTGTCAACAAAAAGATCAACCGTCAAGCTCGGTAAGAAAATCAAGCAGTGAGGGCACTGGAAGACATGGGGTGAAGAACGACGGACGGCATCAATTTAACTGTTGTATACCCCAACTCACCATTCCTATCTTGAACAATTATATCATTAATTCATTCTAAGGGTGGATGCTCCTCGTCAGTAATTGAAATGAGGCGGAATCTGCGGAGTTAATCTTCCCGGGCATATTTGATGGTCATTGAATTAATACCAGCTCAATTTTGGCGAAGCGAGTTTAGTGTAGTTCGTTTCACAGTTTTTTTTTCTATTTTATTTCACCATTTCTTTTGGTCTATCACCTTCATGCCCACTCGAATTGCTCAAGTGGGGCCGGCTACAATGAGGTCGACTAGATCGTAAAAGGCTGTACTTGAGAGAATTGGTTATTTTACACATCCGTGCAACGATGATCAATCGAGTTTTGGCCATCCCTGGTTGTTTATCGGCCCTTCGATTTCTCGGAGGGGAAAGGGTCGTTGAGATCTCTGAATTTCAGTCCAGCCGAGCTGCATCAGCTATTTGCTGCATCCCATTGAACGAAGGGGAAAGGCCCTACTTGTGAGCCTATACTCGCTCGGACGAAAGCTGTTTTCTGATATCGTCTACCGGAAATCCATCCGGGGACAAGAAGAGAAGGGTTTTGCCTGCAGGCCGAGTGGTTCTCTCCGAGGGGCCTCAAGGTAGTATCAAGTCTCTCCTCTAGACCCCCGTATTGAGTCTAGACCTGCAGTTAGAATCAAATTCCAGCCAACTATATTTTGATTGTGGGGTATACTTGGAAATCAAACGGCGCCTGGATTTCGCAGGGCATACAGCTCTAGTCCTCTGATTGGTACAAGCTCTCCATCGTCGTCCCCATCCGGACTATAAATCAAGTGCGATCTCCAACGTCGGTCAGAAGGTCTGGCTGTAGCTTTCCACCCTTTCTTCAATCCTTTGGGAGTTCATTCGCCTTTTCGACAAGACCTGAGCTATGGATATCGTGCAGAATCCATTCTCCAGGCAACTGCGCACTGCGCTTGCCTCCAAGCCTTTCGACGTCTGGAGCATTCCCGGGTCGGACCCGCTTGCCCAAGATGAGGACTGCTCTTATGACATGAAAACACAGTCCTGCGCGGGAGAAAGCTATGCGCCGATGGAAGAAGACGAAGGAGACGACGACGCAGGAGACGGAGCAGACGCCGATTGGGCTATGGAGACCCAAAGTGCAGATGACCATGGTCCCGCGGTGGACCCTAATGACACGTTTGATGATCCCGTGTCTATTGACAAGTGTGTGAGATGTTTGAACGAGTCAGTTCATATGCCCCCTACATGTTGGAGTTACGAGTGAGGCTAATGTCATTCTAGTCTAGACAAACGAGTTCTGCGGGTGCACAATTGACGCGTGCTGCAAATATCAGCTAATAGGAATCTTCCAGGTCCATGGAACGTCAGCTCGAAAAACAAAATCCCTGGAACGACGATATGGCACGAGGCATGAAGACCATGCAGGGCGGGTACCAGGAAGTATCGTTGCTCCGAGAAGAGTCGGCCATGCTGAAAAAAGAGGTAGCGATGCTGAGAAGGCAGCTCGACTCTCTCTCCAAGGGTAGTCCAGTCACGGGGCGAAGACCACCCGGACGCCCCAGGCGTGACGCAGAAGGAAGGCAGGGAGAGCAGGGAATGACATCGTAATACCTGCGGCACATACATATTATTCATTCGCGCTTCCAGCAAAATTGGACAACCCAAGGCGAATAAACAAGCGATAGTGATCATTTCAACGCATTGTGATACGTACACCCATAACGGCATAAGCTTCACGAGCTACTAGCGTCCGTGCGTAGCTGGCCCGAGATCTACGCCGTTAGGAACCTAATGTAATTTGGGAGTTCGTCGACTGATTACTGTCAGAGCGCCACTGCGCTTCGCAACCTAATTTGGGGATTGATTACGCGCTTTGAGGGAGACGATGGTACCTGGACCGCGGACAGGTGGAAACAAAACGAACGGCCCACATGGATCGGAGATGATTGTTTCACGTGCAGGGACGATCGTTGCCGTTTCTGTCCAGCCATTAAAAATATTGCCAAAATACGAGACTAACCGAGATAAGAAGCACAAAATCAGAAAATACAGGGTGTAGCGAAGCTATTGCTCTCCAACCCACTTCGATCTTTGCGCTGGCGTGTTTGAAGGGCTTTTCTTCCCTTAGTGTAAGATGGTTCCTGGCAAGAGGATCTACTCCCGGGGAGATGTTGCATCGTCCCGATGCAAGCTTGCGAATATTGCACCAATAAGAAATTGACAAAATTCGAAATTCAAGTGTTTATGAATAGCTTCCAATTGCGAGTTTTAGTCCCCCCCCCCCCCCCGATAGAGTTCCCTAGCAGGCATCGTGGCGGGTATCTCGGCATTCCTACGTTACATCTCGGGGGGCATGCAGTGGTCGCTTAGGCTAGACTGCCACCGGAATCTATACATATGGAGAGATTCTCAGACCCGCTTGTCGCAGGAATCCTGCCTGTGACCCGACCCGTGCCGCTGTGGCCCACCCCCCAGAAGGTGCTTGATCCTGAGAATTGGGTAGAGCCTCTGTCGGCTTGCAGATCTTTTTACGATGGTAATACTAATGTATGAATCATTTTACACTTGGGAAGTCTCGGCTAGACCGGGACCCCCTTTTGTAAGTTTTCCCGTCTACCCGATATGCCAATCCATGCCACTGCTGAGCTCTGCGGCCGACTGATAACTGCCAAGAATCCACGTTCTCGGCTGGCCCCCGACGATGATCTCCCGCCGATCTTCCTCTTTTTATGGCTCTGAGTCTTGAGGCACATTGCGATTTTGCGTGCTTGAATGACCTGCCGCATGAAATCGGAAAGGAAACCCGGAGACGAAAATCTCACCAACTGGCGAGCGATCTACGCTGCGCGTGGTGGCTGTCAAAAATGCCTGAGGGAATGCCAATGCGTTACGCCACGAGACGTTGAAACTTTAAAGTGCCATACCACGCCGAGTTCCACAAGCCCATCCCTCTTTTGTATTCTTTCCTTGTATCCTCTTTATCTTTGAATTTTACTAACTTTTAAATTTGATTGGATGGTTTGAACTAATTATCAGCCAATCACCGAGAATAGGATATACGGATTTTTGATCCTCGCCCCATGTCCCATAGCGTACCCATCTTTTATTATGGGGAGCTTCCCCTGAGAAAAGTGGGCTTTGCTCTGCTTTCGATGTCTAGGCCTGAACCATCCCACAGTACGTCGCTAGAGAATACTCCTTAGTCCGAGAGGCACCCAGGAACGTCGGCTTCAAAGCCAACGAAAATTTCGTCTCGTCTCGTGAGGTACTCCTTTTCGATATGAGGGAAACGATTTCACCCAGCTGCACTTTTTACGGAGAATCAGGTTCAAATACAGCGCGGCTAATTTCCGCGGCCGAGACATTTGATCAGCCTCCTCCGGCCCGCAATCCTTCCGCGGTCCCCGGAAGCAAAATATAACGGTGCAGCCAATACAACCTTCTTAAAGGCAATTTCAAATACCTTATCGATCTTTACACTAGCGCATCCGTCCGGTATTTCTGAGATGGCCTTGGAGCACATGGATACAACTACAATACGAGTTTGCGAGTCCCCACCCCTGAAGGCCAATCGGTCGTCTTTTTTTGGTCTATATATTCCATTGGCTGATATGACAGCAGGGAAGATTGATGGGCCCACTTCCCCAAAATTCCCTATTGCTATGGTGGAGATCCTGCCTTGATCGGCCTGCGGCCAGAGCCGTCGATGTTGTGTCATATGCCATTCGAAGGGCTTGCGGGAGAAGATATACTCCAGTCTCTGCGGACTATGCAATTCTCGAACTCCTACGTTTTATTTTCCTCCTTTCCTGTCTTCTTTCTCATACAATGGTACCCCGAGACAGCGACATGAAGACCCCTCCAGTTCGTTTGCTTCTTTTGGGGGTCACATAAGCGTGGAGCAAGCCGCTGGGATGCAGTGGGGGAGGTAACGACCATACAAAACACAGTATATGTGGGACAACGACAAAGTTTAAGCGAGCGCCCCGCGGGAAAACACCAAATTATATGCGGCATTGCGTGCGTGCATGCAGGATGAGACGCGGGAGATGCCGGCCCAACGGTGAGATCGATGATGCACGGTCTTGTGCATTTTGATCTTGAATTAACGCTATTTTCACTTCTACTGCCTCAACGGTCGCCCTTCAGGGGCTCTGGTCGTTCATTATGAGTTACCGATGTGGTTCACGCCACTTATCGAATGTACCGCACAGAACATGAGGGCTTTTTTCCCTCTCGACCCCTGAAAACCTTCTTGCCAGCCTCTATTGATGGAGTCTGAGATATCGCGCGAGCCAATGAGGGTAAAGATAAGATACACTCTAAGCCGTATCTGGAGGAGGCTCGAACACGGCAAATTAATGCATGTCATCTGGCTTTCGCGCCAATCGGATCGTAATACTCCACTGACCCAATGCTTGGTCAGATTCGGCTTGGTGGAGATCCACATCCGATCACGGACGTACGATGGAGTATACGATCATCACGGAAGTAGTGAGTAGTTCCCCGGTTGCTAGTTCTTGGGTTTTTGAGACCAGTGCGTTTAGCACCAAGCCACCAGGCCTCCACAGCAGACTTTGAAGGATCGGCCCTGCAAACTCCGAATCTTCGCTGCTAAGAGACTACATCGCAGTGATCAGGTGAAATAGGTGAGCTCAGAGCCAATCTAAGTGTAGGAACACATTTGTATTTAGGATTCAATATTAACCGATCACATAACAGTATCTCTAGAAACAGACATACACCACGGTCCGCTCGCTCGGGGAGACCGCAGTGGCTCATGGCAGGTGTGGATACGAACCGAGCTGGGGAATCGTAGGCAGCTCGGACGAGGAGTAGCCCGGAAGAGGTTGCGCCGGCATACCGGGAGGATCAAGCAGGTAGTTTGCGTCTTGGTCTGGCCAGTTTTGTGCCACATCAGACGAAGGCAGCAGAGTGGAAAAGTATGCCTGGTCACTTTCATTCATCATTCTTGTGATCTCGCTGGTCAGGGACGAAGCGGAGTTTTGGAGCTTCCTCAAGGACTGCTTGTATTCTTCCCGTGGCATATGGTCTTGGGAGGTGGCCGCTTCCAGGCTTTCTTTCAAGCCAACGATCTCGCTCTCCAATTTGCGGCTCTCGTCCGTAGCTTTCTGTCTTTCGACGGTAAGCTGTTGGACTTTTGCTGACAATTGGGTTTTTTCCGCGGCAAGATGTTGGCCTCGCTCGTTCAGGCGGGCGATATCCTGCTGGTGGGACTTTTCGGCTGCTTCAAGCCACTTGATACAATCAACATGGTCTTCCGGCCGGGAGGCATGTGTCCGCTATACCGGATGATCATGTTAGCAAACCGCTATCCTTCAAAGGTAATTTGAATGATTCACCAATCTTTGCCGTAATTGGCCTTCGCGTGGGGTGGATCTGGATTCAACATTGTCGGCGCTCGCCGGCAAAGGTCGCACAGGGCGGGTGACAGACGTTCTGGTCTTTCTAACTCTGGTGGGAGCTGGCACGGCAGGATTATGCGATGCCGTTGGCATTCCCGGCATCGTGAACACTGATTTGGAGGATATCGCGAGACAAATGTCCGCACTGAACAGATCAAAAGAGAAAGAAGAAATAGCTGTATTCCAGCTCGCTTGAGGTGGGCAAAACAAGACTTAAATGCAATTGCAGTCGGGTAGTGACCATGTCACGTACTCGCTTGACTTTATCACTGCGTTTAGTCACACCCCAGCATCTCCGTTTTGTGCTGGTCAGATAAAGAAAAGCGTCATTTCACCGATCCACAATAGATAGTGGAGACAGTAAAACACATGCACAGCTCAACCGCTCTGTGCAAAATATGGAAAGTACCGTCCCCATAGCTTGTTTCGGCCTGTGGGAAATGAATTGCTCAAGTCACTCATCTTTATGATGAACGCTTTGGGAACGTGTCAAATTATCTGCGAAGAATCGATTCGGAAAGAGGAAGTCAAACACTATCTGTTGAGGATATCTCGTGGCATCCCAGCGGGATTGTGGAAACGTGTTCATTTGAAAAAAATTCCAAGCAACGAGAAATCAATTTTTGTTCCCGCGTTGAGATTTCTCCACAGACCCAAGACAGAGAATCAATGTTATTCTCGGCCAATATCCGAGTATTCAGGACCAGGAAGAGGACTACACGTTGGTACACTAGCAATAGCTTCTCGTGCCATTGACATTTTCGTCCTCGTTCGCGAGCTAAGGGGACAGACGGTGTACTTAGCACAGCCTGACCCGACAAAGCCTGATGTGATCAATACATAGCACACTTCTGCCGATCGACCAATGTGCCTCCAGCCAAATAATATGTATATACCTTGTTTCCGTGTCTTTTGCAGCTGTATTGCATTCTTAATTGCTTGGTTATGCCGTTGGATTGTGACTGCGAATGAATTAGCTACTAAAAGTGTATTGTCAAGGCCAGAAGGAAACAATGTCCTATTCCAACAGCTCACATCCAAATACCTCCTTTTCGTTCGACTTGTTGAGCATTTTTGGCTCAGTTTCCCCGGCTATTGGGGAGATGCTACCAGACAAAAACAACAAGATCCTTGCTGGGTACTGAGAATGTAGACATCCGATTTCCTTGGCCTGGAAGTATTGTTGAATATAATGGCGACCGCAACAATCGCCCGCAAGAGAGCGAACCGGTATGCAGCGGGAATCCTACATTCAGTCCAATTCCAATCACCGATCATGCCGACACCGGCGGGGCAGATTCCATGACTGAAAATTCCCACTCGACGTCTTGTTCGTGTGGCTGCCAGGGCAGTAAGTCTCATAACTAGCTGAACGATTTCCACCGCTACACGCAGTAGGTGGACTGTGCATGGGGCTTGATTATGAAGAGTCTCCATTTAGGTTAACCATACCATAGTATCTCCGTATAATCTTCCAGCAGCGGGAAACCCCGAACACGCCTCGATCATTACGAATCATATATCCGTATTTTGTTGCTGCCTCCGCTGTGGCTAAAGTGGCATTCTCTTTGATTGGAACCTTTCTCCTCAGCTCTGTTCATCTGGGTGGCCTTTTTATTCTCTCTGTGGACTACTTCGGTATAGCCGCATGGTATTGGTTGTTGTTTCAACAGTCGACACTAGGCCGAGCTCAGCTGCGGTGTATCTCGTGTTACCTCTCCGTACTAGCACTCCTTTTGCTTGTGGTTGCCATCATATGTATGCTAGGTGAGACATGGATACTTGCACTGGAGGTAATCACAATCATTCCCACATTGCTAACAGTACTGACACTCGACAGATCGAACTGATTCTTGCCTTGGTATCTTCTTTGCAGTTGACCAAGTGAGCCACGAAGATGTAACTTTCGGTATTCCGCAAATGAATCACGCCATGTCGAGGCCATGGGCAAGGTGACCCAGGCAAGGCTTTTAAACCAATATGGTTTTCCGCCTACATGTGAAGAACTTAATTAGAAACTCACCCTTCTCATTAGCTAGAACACAAGTATACGGTACCAATCTCCACCTTCTTTTTCATATGCCCTGGCTCCTTCTTAACCAACACTAAGCTGGCGGCGCAACTTGATGTGCTCTACTAACTATGCTAGGCCTCCTGCATCATGAAACAGTCTGGACGGAAGCATGATAAAGTGACCCATAGAAGGTGTCTCCAGATGATGAGCAACATCGAGGAAGAGATTCAAAAAAGACAAGAAGAAAGGGATAGGGAGAGGCAAAAGCATTGTCGGTTGCTGAAACAACTTGAAACCCTGAAAGCCGAAGAAAATTCGAGATTACAGCTGGCTCTCACGGCACGGGATGCAGCATTAGCCGAGAGTCAGCGGGTCGAGCGAGAGGTATCTGAGTTGCGGCAGCAGCTGGAGTCCACAAACGCGGCTCTGCAGGACCAGGTCCCGTGGAATGATATTCTGCTGGTGCTAGATCAGGCACACGGAGACCTGGTGTCGACGACCACTCGATTTTGGAACACGGTCGATGTCCTCCAGAACAAACGACTGGCATCTTATTTACCGGGCTCTGGGGTCATTCATGAAGACTGGCCCGAGAAGGGAGTCGTGGCTACTCAGGGCGACGATTTTCCCTTCAATTTCTCCGAACCGAATGTTCCGCTTCCCTATCAGCAGGAACCCTCTTCAACCAACCGAAATGGATCTCTAAAGGGATGACTGTATCTTTGAGCCTACCTATTCATGTAGGAGAGCTGGCTATTTAGCATATAGCCAGTACACAAGTAGTTTATGACAGATACCTGGCAGCATTCGCAAAGTCTGGAAAGGACATCTGTAAGTGCTTTAGTTCTAGAGCTAACGTTGATGGAAGAAAGTTCTCGTCTTTAAGATAGTGTCGACATATTTCAAGCTATTTGCAAAAAAGTGTGATCTAATACTACTCTGAACTTTCGTTGCTCCGCCCAAGTCTTTCGTTGATCCAAACCTGAGTATGGAACTGATGGGCCAAAAGTACAACTGGTCAACCAGGTTTGAACTGGAAAAACTTGGAAGGCTTGCCTAAATTGTCTTAGTCTATATTCGGTTGGCCTTGGGAAATCCTTTCGGTACGCTAAGTTACATTTCACTCCTAGTCCTCAGATGTTGCCTACCTTGCTGGGGGATTGGCGAAACAAGAGATCCCAAGGCACAATGACAACATAGTACAGGAGTGGACACATTATCAGTTTGAAATAGAGCCCATCGAGACATATTCAGCGGCCATCAATGGACAAGCTTCTTTTGGCTTGCTCACAGTTTATTCCATTTGATCTTTTGCAGTCGAGCCATGTACAGATATACACCTCAGGACCAACACAAGCCGACGCCCTGCTTCGGTACACATGGCCACAAATCAAACTCTAATCACCGTTGCCCCGACGGAGGGATCGACCGGTGCTCTGGCGCCCTGTCGCTTTGCTGTTGCTCTGCTTTGCAACTTTTTTCATCTCAGTCTCCACGATCGCCAATCTAGCAAAGATATCAGCCAGATCGTTGCGAACGGCTTCGTTGCAGGTGTTTTGGGCGTACGATGAGCTCTCAATGGACCTGCATAGAAGATTAGTGATCGAATTCCACCCATGCTTGCGTTTGACCACGAGTGATGGCAAGTGTTCCAGATTACGGCAGGGTGTAGAGTAAAAGGAGACGGTCCGCCGGATTTAATATATATTTGTAGTGAAAGGAATTGAGTGCTTTACTCACTTTCAATGGGAGGGGAAGGGCAACCAACTCCCACCCCTACTTTAAACGACCGGTGTTTCTTTTTTAAAATAAATCCCCGGTCATCACACCCTGAGCGATATGAGGCCTCTCAATGTTGAGGCCCTTGTGTTTGCTATGACTGCTACTTTCTTTGTCAAGCCAACGTTGACAGATGATTCACCTGGTCCACGGACAGGAAGGGCAACGAATTTTGCACGCAAAAAGAAAAGTCCGCTTAGAAAAAAGTGATTCAACGTAGCAATGAAAGCATGTGGGGTGGTCAAGAAAGAGATGCTCCCAGCATCTTTTGCTTCAACCTCGCTGCTCAACAGCAAAATAATATGAGGACATGTTTGAACTCGCGAACGGTGAGGGTCTGAGACCGGCTCACCAGACTGATCCATGGTTCATAATCAAACAATGTTCTTTTTCATAACCCAAAATGCAACGGTAGGTTCTTTTCTAGTGAACCGAGTATTAAAAGCTTTGGAACTCAACAAAGCTACACCTTCGAGTTCACTTTGTGTTGTTTTCTTCACCCGTTCTTCCCACTTCTACCATTTCCCAAGCATCACCATGTCACCACCTAATGCATCTGGTTGGCTGGAATGGGAGGAGAAGAATCTTCTCTCTTGGCTGGATGCCCATCGAGAGCTGTCATAGAAAGCCCGTTCGAATGCATATTACGAACAACACCGAGTGGCCCGAAGCGCCGAGTCTCTACGAGGGAAGAAGTATCATATTCTACGAAAGTACCGTCGCACTAGTGCCAAGTCTTCGAATCATTCAAGTCATCGAAAATCATCAAAATGTGCTCGTCAGTCAATCGACCGCAGGGCGTCATTGGTGACCCTCCCAAACGAAATTTCTCCCAGAAGCAACATTGAAAAATGGATTGAAACAATCTTAGCGGCTGAGGCGAGCCAGATCGATAGTAATGGATCAAATCAAAAAGAAAGCTCAAGACTGGGTACGAAATGCAGTTCCTATTATCCCCTGTTATTATTTACTATTTTCGGGCTAATCCTCTGTCACAGGTCGTGCGGCGCGAGTATCAATCCCGTCTTGGCCTAAAGAAAAGCGATCATCATCTTCAATGTGGCACTATGTGCATCGATTTTGTGCAGCCAGGAAACTTGAATGGCAGTGAATAGAACGCGTATACCAGCAACGATTTATTGACATGCGGTTCACTTCATGATATCGAAGTAAAAGAGGCCAACTATCTCGATAATTAGCCCTGGTGAACGTTTCTATGACAAACCTGTGATACCTCCGCAACGGGCAGCATGAGAAATTCCGTCGTGGCTGTACTTATCCCCTCACCCAATTGTAAAAACCAGAGAAACCACTCTTCCTTGGAATGATTGTCCCAGATGTCAAATCTAGGGAAATGGAACACTTCACTAGTCATATTTGCCGAGAAGCAAATGTTGTCCGAGTCAGTCCAAACTAGCCTATTCAAGTCACGAAGAAATAGATTTCGCGCAGATCGTGGAATGATGAGTGGGCCCGTCGATCAGTAGCCAAAGCCCAAGTCAATTCGGCAACTGAATTTCGATGAACTATGGAAACGCTCGCCCGGTGAGAGAATTCGGTTGTCAGAAGAGCTTGATCGAAAGCTTATCGATAGGCTTCTGCTCCTTTTGTTTCTTAGATTCGCATGATAAAATCTGCCCCACCGTCCGAAAGTTCATAGGGAAAATGGAGGTACTCTGTCCAAGATCTCGCGCTGGCAAAGTATTGTATATTGTAGAACGAAGCAACCTTTTTGCAGTATTGTCGGTTGCCAGAGTAATGGTCAAGAGCACTGGGTGCTTCTAATGCACAAACCGGAGACTTTGTTTAGATCTACCATCTCAAATTAGCATTAATTTTCAAAATCTAATTATTTGCTAGAGTTGGCAGATCCGGGACCGAATCGGAGCCGATAGGGAGAGGAAGAATGGGATTGGAAGAGTTTGCTCAGTAGCGGGAGTTCTTGCATAAGGTACCTACCTAGCTTCTAGAACGTTCTATAGACTAGATCGCGACCCCCCTTCCCGACAGAGGACCAATCACTCTCTTGCGAAGGCAACTGAACCGCGGATCAGATCTTTGTTTGCCAAAACTCTTTGTGGTATTCCAAATACCTCGTCTGCCCCGACCGACCTCCCAAGAAACAAAGACCTGTTCCATCTGTACTCCGGACGGCCCGTCAAGACTAGGTTTGTGGATCGTGTCTCGACCCTTGCGGATCCCTGCAACTTCTTCTGCGGGCCACAAATAGAACCTCCTTAATCTACTGTCCCGTAGGTCGTCGCTGGGATCTGCGTTGCGGAACCGTACCTAAGTCTGCCTAAATCGGCCTGTTATTTGATTGGTGTAACCGGTGCTTGATGTGTCCAGAGTTTCACCAGTATCGTAGCAACGCGAAAATGTTTGAGAAACATGAAACTAGCGAAGTAACTTACGAGCGTATCTGTCGCATTCGATCAAGTAATATTGCAACCAATCTCCAGTCACGCTCGCTTTTGACGATTGGGATTCTTTTGGGGGTAGACACCCCCTCTGCCTTGCACTGCTCTTCCAGGAATGGTTCTACAAAATCCCACTTCTTCATAAGCAGAGAGTGAATTTCAACCATCCAACAATGATTTTACTGCAATGTGGTTATTTGATACTGTACCTGAAGCATGTATAATGACGCGTAGATTACAGCACATATATGTTGTTTGAGACGATAGATTCAAAATCAACTACGTGCATGGAATGTTATCTGAACTATTTTTCATTTCGAATATGAAAAGGCTTTGATATCCAAGGCATGAGAAAGCCCAGAAGCCAAGAGCATCACACATCGCTGGATGGTCCATGGCCCTGAACAAGATGATCGACTACTTCTTGGTCGGTTGGCATATTTTGAATAGCCTGAATCAACGAGTATATCTCCTCCGGCGTCCCAGATCGTAGCTTTGCAACCATATGGCAAAAAGCGACGCGGAATTTGAGCAGCTCGGCGGCATGGGTCTTGCGTCTCCGATCACGGTTTGGATCATACAAGCACTTGCGATTTTCAGTCACACAAGTGGTACAAGGGGTCGTACCAGAACACTTCGCTGAGTCAGTTCTGGCGTCGAGAGGAGGGACAATAGTTCTAACCTTAGATCGCTTTTTCTGGCACTCGGTACATGCAAGAGAGACATTGCGTCGCTGTTTTGTTGGCGCATCCACTCTCAGACACTGATTGCCGAGTTGCTTATCTCTAGGCAGAAGCTGACGCAGAAGATTATTCTTGGACATTGCACGATTAGATTGGTGAAGGCACTTAATTGATAGAGAGATTTAGATCTGGAAGTGGGCTTTGGGTGAACATTGAAAATCAGAGACTCAGGGGCTCTTTTCAGGCTCTGTTTGTTTTCCTTTTACATCCTTGCTTGCAGTTCTCTTTGTTTGCTAAACAGAAAATCATCCATAACAAAGAACCCAGCTAGAAGACCCGCCTTTGGGGAAGGCTCCGCAATATTATTGGCGGATTAGCGTAACAATCAGCTCTAATTGGCCATATGCCTTCCCAGAGCACCCCCACATCATATCGTGCTGTAGTCTTCCCGCACGATCCGTGGCGGCTTATCTAGACCAGCGGAATTGAGGTGTTTACTTAGATACTGTACAGGAAGTGCATAATACGCTGAGTTCATCTGGCAGTTTGGCCTCCTGGTCGACGCCAGGCAACTACGCCGACTATCACTAGAATCTCTTCCGCAATTATAACGTCACAGCAATAACTTTCTTTTTGGCTTGTCTGTAATATGTCAAGGCTCAAGTACCTTGCAGGACCAATAGGTAACTTATTTTTAGGCCATCGTTACAAATGTAACCCTACTCAAATACTACCAAGATCGGGGATCAGGATGTCGACTTGACTAGGAATATGGCGTGTCTAAAGAGATACATATCGAGGAAAACTTGAATCGGCGGAAACCCCTATTAAGCATTCTGTTGGCCCTGTATGATCAACTCCCTTCAGGAAACCGGATTGACCTAGCCACACAAATAGACTTAAGCGCAGGACGTGATAATCAGCCCGATCCCGCCCGCTAAAAAGCAAGTTCTCACATCATCACTTCGAAAGCCCTTTCAAGGAGGCGAACAGGCAATACGACCCTGCAGCTTATCGCTGTCATAATGAAGCTGGCGTGTGCTCTTAGCCCAGGCATCACCTTTTGCTAAGGTTCGCAGCTTTACTTGACCCCCTAGCTCACAGGGAGTGCGACTTTACCAAAGTCACGTGCACTTTCTACATGACATGCTGAGTCAACGCTCTAGAGACCCGAAGAGCCAAACAGGTCACAGAAAGCTATTTTTGTGCTTTTATTTTCACGTGTATTGAATGACCGCCAAGACAGTGTTTTAGAGGAAATATAGCTGTAAGAGGTATAGCGTGTTTCATAAGAGGGTACGAGACAGAATCTCCATGTGCAGGTGGTGAAACTAATTCCGATCCATCCTGTACATGCGGGTACAGGCCTGATACGGAAGTTTTGATATGCTGTTTGTTATAACTGTATTGAGAGACTGCCAAGAAAGGGTTCAGGGGAAGATTAACCGCAAGAGCTTATTGGCTGTACGCTTTGGAAGGTCTCGACACCACATCAGGCCGGAAGTACTGTACGGAAGGAAGCAGAAATTTCGATCCATCCTGTACCGGGAGATCCTATATACACTACTTGTGGTTGTGTGCCGAGCGTGAGCTAACCGCGTACCGATGGTGGACCCACATACGGGAGGGCCCGAACCCCCTCCCACAGACACCGGAGAAAACCCCACCAGCATCTCAGTCGAGGACTTCCAGCCTCGCGTACCGATCGAGCCGCTTCCTGAGTCTCGCAAAAGAACACGGAGCGATTGTGCCTTCACACCAGTGGAAAGTACAGGCCGGGTTACCACCAGGGAAGTGTGGAAGCTCATCGACAGCCTGAAGTTAATCATCCACCACCAAACTGCACTCATCGAATCCACTAAGACCGAGATCGAAGAGGTCAAACACGACCAGAATGTCCTTCGTGACCAGAATGAGAAGCTCTACGAGGAAATCAGAGCTATGCGAGCTCAAATCGACGCATTCCCACCAGCACCTGCGTCCAGAACATGGGCAGCAGTTGCGGCCAGCGGCAACGTTGCCCCTCCTCAACAGAACGACTCACGGCCCGACAGGGACCTGAACTGCGTTCGTATTAGCACCCAACGATCATTTGTAGATCCGGCGGACAATAATAACAGCGATGGAAACACCTTCGGCCGATACCTTCCCACAGATTCCGCTAACAGCCACATCCGCACCGCGCTGATGAACGCTCCAACAACTCAGGACGCCCAGGTTGCCGGGGTTTGCACGACCAAGACAGGCTACGTGATTCGATTCAAGGACACCGAGTCGGCCGAGCTGGCCCGCAACAACACCGAATGGTTGAATGAACGAGGAAACAATACGAAAATGGTGAAGCCACGATTCGGCATCGTCGTGCATCGCACCCCAACAGAGCATTTCGATTTGGAGAGTGCAAACACCCAGGCCATTGAGAAAATCATGGACAAAAACAGCCTCACGGGACAGGGCTTCCAAATCGAGGAGGTGGCCTGGCTCAAAAAGAAGGACAAGATATTATGGAAATTCGCATCGCTTGGCATCTGGTTCGACTCAGCGGAGGGAGCTGAACGCATCCTCAACAACGGTCTTTTAGTGGGCCAGAGATACATTGTTCGTGTGGAACGCCGCGAGATTAAGAAAAAGAGATGCTTCCGATGCCAAAGTTTCGGACACCTAGCGTGGTCATGAAAGGAAACACCACGGTGCGGACATTGTGCGGGCCAACATGAACGGCAACGATGCCCACCGGGCGTCAGAGCGAGATGCCTAGACTGCAGCGGAGAACATGCAACAAGTAACCGACAGTGTGCGACCCCCGCATCTTTCAAACTCCGTCAACCCCGTCAATTTTAGAGACAAACCTACGAGCACTACAGTTGAACATTATGAAATCGGGACCAAGAATGGAGGCCCTCATTAACGATCACCAAAGCCAAAACCTGGATGTACTCCTGATCCAGGAACCGTCCATTACCACCTATTGCAACCACGTCAACCACAGCTCGTGGCGCCTCTACCGTCCGACGACCGACACCGACGCAGCCCGATTTCGCAGCCTGATCTATGTGAATCGGAGGGTCTCTACATCGTCACACCGACAAATCTTGTGCGATCACCCAGATGTCGCTGCTATCAAGATTTGGACATCTGACTTCCAAATCCTTTTCTTCTCCGTCTACCTCCCTTCTGTCCCTCTGTGCACGGACGCCGAAGTTTCAGCAGAACCCGCACTCACAGCAATTCAAAACACAATCAAAACCGCCCTACGAGACAATCAACGACCCACGAACATCGTTCTCAGCGGAGACTTCAACCGCCATCACCCAATGTGGGGCGGCAATCACATCCAACCACGGTTTATCGAAGACGCTAGCGACCTGATCACGTTCTTTCAAGCGAACAGTCTCCACAGCTGCTTGCCTCGGGGAACTGCAACCTACTGGTCGCTAAGCGATCCAGGGAGGAATTCCACCATCGAGCAAACAGTAACGGATCGGCCAGCGCTACTAATCAAATGTCACCTTTACCACGAAAACTACGGATCCGACCACCGCGCCACGTATTCCGAATGGAATCTCCAAGCCCACAACAAGCAAGCAACGCAGACAAGGAAGGCCTACGAACGTGCAGACTGGAACAAGATAGGCGAGGGGGTGGTACAGCGAGTCGGCCCGGCCAAAGAGATTAAAACTCGACCAGCACTGGACGAGGCTGTCAAAACCCTCACGGAGGTAACAACAGCAACAGTAAATGAGTTGACACCTGACACACGCCCAACACCATACTCCAAACGGTGGTTCACGCCGGACCTCAAAGTTCAACAAACCAATGTCAATCAACTACGTCGGAGGTGGCAGGTGAACTGCGGAGTGCTCGGGCGAGACCATCCCAATTCCACCGCTGCCTTCCAAGAGATGCAACAAAGCCGACGAGCGTGGACTCGAACCATTGAGAAAGCCAAAGCGTCACATTGGAGGCAATTTCTAGACGAAGCCGGGGAAGGGAAACTATGGAAAGCGGCCACCTACATGAAACCGCGGAAGTCCTGGGGGTGCGTCCCGGCAGTGCAGGTCGATGACCAAGAGCTTGTCGAGAACGAAGACAAGGCGCAGGCTTTCCTAGATTCCTTCTTCCCTGAAATGGATACACCCGAAACCAACTCGACAACATCTGCACCACTGGAGCTCCCGTGGCAGCCTCTCACCACCCCAGAGATTGAACGATCGCTCAAAGCCGCAAAGGGGACCACCGCACCAGACGAAGACAAATTGCCGATGCTCGTGTGGAAGCAGTTATGGGTACACCTGAAAGATAACATTACCGGGATTTTCAACGCATCACTAAGTCTGGGGTACCACCCGAAACAATGGCGGAACGCAAAAATCGTGGTGCTGCGGAAACCCGGGAAGCCAGATTACTCGGTCCCTGGGGCCTATCGTCCCATCTCACTCCTCAACACGCTAGGAAAGCTTCTCGAAGCCGTGATAGCCCGAAGACCCTCTCATACCTCGCAGAAAAACATGGGCTGCTACCAGATACTCAATTTGGTGGACGGCCAGGAAGAACCACCGAGCAGGCCCTGCTGGTGTTGTCAAACGCAATCGACCGAGCATGGTACAAACACGAAGTGGTGACTATTGTCTCCTTTGACCTGAAAGGAGCCTTCAACGGAGTTCAACAGGCAACTCTCAATACATGCCTGCGAGCCAAGGGAATCCCAGCCATAGCCAGAAAATGGATCGCGAGCTTCATGAGCGACCGGTACGCCAGCATAGGATTTGACGACTACCGCACGGAGGTAGCACCGCTAGAAAATGCGGGACTAGCACAAGGGTCCCCCCTCTCCCCCATACTCTTCGCGTTCTTCAACGCCGACTTAGTGGACCAACCCGTTACCCTTCACGGTGGCGCCTCAGCATTTATCGACGACTATTTCCGCTGGAGAGTGGGCCGCTCAGCAGAGGAGAATCTGGCAAAGATTCAATCCGAAGACAACCCCCGCATCGAGGCATGGGCGCGCAAAACTGGGTCCTGCTTCGCAGCCCGGAAGACCGAGCTCATCCACCTAAACAGAAAGAAAGCTGAGCACCTACAGGGTCAAATAGTAGTGAACGGCACAGCAGTCTCACCCTCTCCCGTAGCCAAGTTACTGGGTGTGAGCTTCGACCAGGAAATGCGATGGAAAGAACACGTGCAGCAAGCGATTAAGCGCGCAACCAAAGTCACTGTTGCTCTGGGCGGATTACGACAGCTGCGCCCAGAACAAATGCGACAGCTCTACCAATCATGCATCACGTTAGTCGTGGATTATGCATCAACCGTCTGGCACGATCCACTCAGAGACAAAACCCACCTTCGACACCTCAACACAGTACAGAGAACCTCACTGGTTCGCATCCTGTCGGCATTCAGAACGGTAGCTACAACAACCCTCGAAGTAGAAGCACATATTCTTCCCACCCATCTCCGCCTTCGCCACCGAGCGCAACGCACCATTGCAAACCTCCATACACTACCGCGGGAACACCCTATTTGGGAGACTCTCGCGAGCTCAAAAACATAGAAACAATATCGGGTTGTATGCTCGCTTCCCACTGGCAGAAGCGCTGAAGAGCATGGACCTCGAAAGGCTCAACGAACTAGAGACAATCGATCCACGACCACTGCCACCATGGTGCCTCGATCCCTTCGTGGAGATCGAAGTCGATTCAGACCGAGAGACAGCGATTGAAAAGGCCGAGGCAATCCGCTCAACATCAGACATTGTCGCCTACTCGGACGCCTCAGGACGCGACGGTCATTTAGGAGCCGCGGTAGTAGCATTCAACGACAACATGGAGATAGTCGAATCCCAACAGATCCAGGTGGGACCGATGGACCGCTGGTCAGTCCACGTAGCGGAGCTGATAGGCATCTTTCACGCGGTCAGATTAGTATGAGAGGGCTTGACCACTGATCATCACGAACAATCAATCACCAGACTTAACCAGACATGCTTTGTACTAGCTAGTACAGCCAGTTAGGGATCCGAAAGGAATATGACTATTCATGAATATTCATGAATATTTGCGAATATGAATAATATGAATTGAATAATATAAATATGAATAAGCCCTTTATTCATATTCGCAATATTCATGAATATATGATTAATCCATATTTATTCATATAATAAAATACCATACATTACCATTCGTTTCATTAAAGTCGAATACATCAATCATGCTCAGACACCTTATTCCATAGCGAATTATGTACCTGTCTTTAATATCGAAGCACTGAAAATTACATGCATGCACCACTGGAGATTTATGTATGAGACTTTCCTCTCAATAGCATCAGCCATCGCATAGTCTCCGAGTTCAGACAGTGCCTTCGGAGGCCCAAGACATCTCGAGCATTGCTGAACTCGCGTTCAATCCCGACCTCTGCCGAAGGGATGGGTAGGTAATCGCGAGCGGCTTTTGCCATGAGTGGAAAATTAAAGGCGTTTGCCTTCCACCACTTTAGGACCCATTCTGCGTCCGTATCGCCGATCATGTGGTGGGACCAGTTGGCCGGCGGGGAATCCAATTACTTATCAATATCCGACAAAGAGGCCTCTTTGGATGGCTGGACTTTGCGCAGAGTTCTCCACATGGTTTCCGACATCCCCGCTGGACGTGGATGGTCAACTTCACACGACACAAATGGCTCTGGGGGGTATTCTTTCTTAAGAAATTCCCGCACTTGCGAGACAATAAGCCCCGAATCTTGCTCGTTCATTTGAGACACAATCAGAGACGTTTTGATGCGCGGATCTAACATGGAAGCCACATAGTAAAGAAGGTTGTCGTCCATTTTTCTAGCAAACTTGTTCATCTTCCGAATGCCTCTTTCCACCGCACCGCGTATTTCAATGTTGACGTCTTCAAAATCTCCCTCCGCATTTCGAACGTCATTTAACAAATCGTCCAAGCTCCAGTAAATTGGTAGACTTTCCACAATTGTCGGGCATGCCTTTGAAACGGAGTTCGTGTGGTCCCAGAACGG